GCAGGCCGGCTGTAAAGAGATGTTTAAGCTGCCACAAAATGGCAGGATTCTACGTGAGGGAGGGTAGGGCAGGGTGCAAAATTGATTTGCCTCTTGAAAGGGCTGCTGTCGTGCCGCCCTGCTGCTCTTTCGTTTTATAACCGTATGATATTGTCATACGTTCTCTGTTAAATTTGGATATATTAGTATTCGCACCATAAGCTCCTAAATTAGTAATTTCATTAAATTTATACTTATCTTCCCCTTCATATACCGGATTCTCTTGTTGGAACCGGGATCACCCATGTGATCATCGCTTGCTAGTGCATCACTGCTTAGCAGACTTTTTGATCTGTTGACCTACCGTCAACTTGAACGATTTTACTATGGCGAAATGAAGTAATTCATTTGTCGATCCAAATTTACAAAAATTTACGTAACACAGGCTCCACGGCTGCGCAGGCAGTGCAAGGACCTGTTTTTTTTTGGCTCCACGACTGCAGTAGCAGTGCAAGGACCTATTTTGTATTTGGCTCCACGGCTGCAGGTGGCAGTGCAAGGAGAGAAAGATGAATGATAATGAATAAATAAATAAATAACAGTCTTGTATATATCGCTTGTAAATAACACATCTGATAAAATACTTAGTTATCTCTTTAATGCTTATGGCCCTAAGCTAAATTGGCTACGTGGATACAAAGTCTCTTCCCAAGTCATAACATTTTTGGTGCCAATTGTGTGGAGTGAACAAAAGCCGAGGGTTGTATTGTGTTAAAAAAATACATAATAAAACTAACGAAGTTAATGAATAAACAAACGTTAGTGGAGCAAACATGTTGTGAAAATGAACGTTACAATATCGTGTGGAACGAATGTTACAGTATTGTGTGAGGTTAATGTTGACAAGTATTGTATTACAATATTGTATGTATGAATATGAGAATAAGTGTATAAACGAACATTACAATAAGTGTGTAAACAAATATTATAGTAAGTATGAGGACAAATATTAGTACAACAGTGTTTAAAAAAAAAAAAAAAGAGTCAACAAACATGAATACAATAGTTTGGACAAACACAAAATATGATAGCACAGATGAACATGAACACAATGTGGAAAAACAATTCTCTTCAAAATGAAAACCTGTTAAATAACCCGAACTATCAAATACAACAATTACTCCAGACCATGGTAAGTACTTTGGCACAATCTAAGAGTCCTTAAGCAGATCCTGGTAAAATAGATTTGGTGAAGATACCAACATTTAGCAGGGGAAAAAAAGATCCCATAGGATGGTTGGAATCAGTTATATAAGTCCTTGAAGCAAATAATATCTTAGAAGTAAGATGGTTAGAGGTAGTAGGTTTTTACCTGCTTGGTCCTGTTGCACTGTGGTGGGAAAGCAAAAAACTTTGGATACAATATTGGAATAATGAGATGATACAAGACTGAAGTTTTGTATACCAATTTTAGAAAATGTTTTGCACACTAGCTTTAATAAACCAGTAGACCACAGAATTATTAACCTGGCAACAACAAGTAGGTGAGACAGTGGAACAATATGCTGTTAATTTGTTGAACTTATTTAAACAAGTATCAATCGTAGAAATCTAGTACCCAGAAATAATGCAAGTTTGAATATTCGTAAAAGGTCTCTGTCCTAAATTATCATTAGCCATTGAATTCTTCATACCCAATATGCTACAAGAAGTTATTAAACGAGCCCAAATATATGAAACAATAGCAACATGAGGATTAGCAGTATATAAACCTACCTAACTAGCAATATAGTAGTTCCATCACCAATATACCAAATGACTTGCCTTGCAAATTCATCAGTAATAATCTTTGCTTTACAAATGCTTATGTGATACATTCTTTAGACTCTGCTGTATCTCCCATAATAAGTAGTTCGATAAAACAAATAGTAAAAATATGCTCTTCCAAAAGAAGTCAACTAATGATCGCTACTGCTAAAAACTATGAAGATAGTCACAAATTAAGAAATACCCAAGCTTTCCGTGGCCTTGAGAATGGTGACCAAAATAGAGTTCAAGTTGAAAAGGATGTGTATATAGCACCCAATAGCAACTAAGCTTCAGTACCAAATTCATACAGCCTTTCTTGTTGTTATCAAAATAAAATAGGTGTTAAAAAGAATGAATTTAAGACACCCATTAATTATCAAGAATCTGCAAGGATGGATTATATCATTGGAAAAAATGACCTTAGTTATAGTTGCTAAAATAGAAAAT